ATGAAGGTCCAAGGGCGATGGCCTGCCTGGGTGCACACAACTTGTCCAAGCAAGAGGAACAAAAGACACAACAGAGAAGAAACGGAGGTGGTGATGTGGAAAAGAGGAAAATATTTTTGATTTGAAACCAGAGTAATAAAAGGAAGTTTAAGCAGATAAGTTGAAGTAAAATGGTGGAAAGGTTTTAATTGACAGAGTTGTGGTAAATTGTTCACGTGGTTTAAATGAGGGTGAAGGAGAGGACAGAAGGGTGCAAGCAAACAAAGACAAAACAGCTTTTGAGCATGACATGCACATTGGAAGTGCTGATTGAAACAAACCGTACATGTAATTAAAATTTACTTAAAACAACTCATTTCATCCCCATTTCAATTGGTCTTCAGCGCTAAATCGATCACAACAATAAAGAATGACACAGTCAGAGAAAAAGAAGTCAACCTTCTTTCAATTATTTTTATAAATTGTGCATATCATCTGCTTTGTACCAGATTCTGAAATCATTTAAATCCAACCTCAAGTGTAAAAAACTCACAACAGATTCCACCATATTATTACAAAACAAGAGCAAACTGGAAAAGCTGTGAGTGAAAAACGAAGTGGTCCGAGACCCCATGGTCCAGAGGCCTGCAGAAGCACATCCAGCCACAGTTCTTCATGACCCTTTCATTCTCTGATGGCTGTGGAGGAGGTTGGTCTCTTCTTTCAACATCCCTTCAGTTCATTTGTTTGTTTCGGCTCAGCTTTCTGAAGGTCCCACCACCACTGGATATCGATTGTTTGGTTGTAGATCAGCGGCCATATTTCAGATCATTGTCTTATTGTGTAACTAAATCTGGGTCAGACGGGTGTCTTTGATCAACCTCGACCGTTGCACTCAACAGTTATGTGAGGCGTTTGTACCGAGAAGCTTTGATTCTTCTCCGAGCACGATGCTGTGAAGAATGGTTAACTTTATTCTCCTCCGTTTTGTTCCAGACGTTCACTTGAATGAAAGTCCTGCTACCACGTTACTTTCATTAAGAAGCTGATTTCTGCTGCAACCCTTTAAAAAGCATACTGATGTTTTCTAATGGCTCTGTCATGATACCAACTAAGGACTGTAGACTGATGTTTTCATCAATCATCTTGAAATTGCTTCTTCCTGTTCAGGTCATGGAGGTCACTGGTGTTCATGTCCAGCAGTCACTGTTTGAGAGGTGGGGACACCCTGGACAGGTCTCCAGTCCATCATAGAGACAAACGAGACAAACAAGCATTCACTCTCTCACTCACTCACACCTCGGGATAATTTAGAGTTACTAATTAGTCTAACATGCATGTTTTTGATCTGTGGGAGGAAACAGGAGTAGCTGGAGAAAACCCACACATGCATGAAGAGAACATGCAAACTCAACCTAGAAAGGTCCAGGGCCGGGATTTGAACTGGTGACTTTCTTGCCGAGAGGCGGCAGCTCTACCAACTGCAACACCGTGATGCCCAAGACAGTGAAGACAGTGTTTTTACTTTTTAATTATCTATAAACCGTGCGTTGGGGGGGGGGGGGGGGGGGGTCATTTGCTTCAACATCGTTTCCTGAAAAAAACTGTCAAATTGTTCAAAAATGATGATTGACCATTTCCAGATTGATGAGCTGTTGATTGTTGATCTTCCAAGATCATTGCTGATGTCTTTCCAGCTTGGCATTGTGTTAACACACACCTGTATTCTCCAGAGCAGTAAAGTGACAAACTGGGAGTGGTGGTGTAGAGGTTAGAGAAGTGGGCCTGTGATCGGAAGATCGCCAGTTCAACCCCCAGTACCGACAACATCAAGAATGTGGGTGGGATAGATGAAGCAACTGTCGCCACCCTCATTTGCCTCTGGGCTCTTGAGCAAGGCCCTTAACCCCCATCATCTGCACCCCCAGGTGCTCTAGATAGCAGCTCTCTGCTGTGGTAGCTCGGTGGTTTGTGGTTTTGTCAGGAAGGACATCTGGTGTAAAAATAATCGCCATGTCTTCGTGCGAGTTAGTTTGCTGTGCTGACCCCTGAAGAAGGGAGCAGCCGAAAGAAAAAGAAGCAAAGTGACAAACTCCTCTGTATGTGGACGTGGTCACACTGATGATGATCAGTTATTCATTGGATCAGCGCCTGGCTGATGGAAGCAGCAGTGGACCCAGTTTTACACACAGGCTTTCATCTGGAGTTTGCTTTTCTTTATAAACAATGACATGATGGAATCAGTTGTGCAACATCACCTTAAAACTGAAAGGAGTTTCTTTTTATGATAACTGCGTCGTCTTAAAATCCATAAACATTGGTTCTAAATTTTGAGAGTAAATGTGCAGATCGTTTACCAATTTACAAACTTGATTCAAAAAGAAAAGGAAAGAAAACAATGGCTGCCCTGACCTACATTCTCTCTGACCCAGCCTCTCAGATTACAAAGAGACATCCAGAGGACTCTGTCAGAAGACAGATTTCCTCATCTCAAAACAGTAGACTCCATAATTATAACACGGACAGTTTGACTTCAAAATATAACGTTTTCAGTTTCTTCTTACCCAAAATGCAAAGTTGAAACTAAACAAGTCAATAGAAACAAAACGCCCAAAACTATTTGCAATCTTTGATTTTGTCAAATTACAACAGGAAACACAAGCTTCTGTGTATTATTATTATTATTATTATTATTATTATTATTATTATCATCATCATCATCATAATAACATGGGAGAAACATGAGAACGCTGGGAGTGTAAAAGGTGTTACAGCGGCGATGTTACTGGTTATATGTTTTGGACAAGACAGAACTAGTTTAGTTTTATGGGCGTTGTTTTGTGCTAAACCTTCCGACTCTAGCTGAACGATGTTAGGAACAGTGGAACAGATACACGAGCGTTATGATGAAGAGGTTAGAGGAATATTTAAGACATTTTGAAGTGGGGCTCTGTGCAAACGTTATCTTACTGGTTGTAAATGGCTCTGTGAACAACTCAGTCTGAAGAAAAAGAGTTTATCTTTGAAAGCAGTGATGAGCTAAAGGCTGGTTCAAATGTAGCCAAGATCAGAAGAGATCTTAAAGCAGCTGAACAGTAGGTCTGTCACGATAACAAATTTTGCTGGGCGATTAATTGTGTCAGAAATTACTGCAATAAACGATATTGTTTGAAATTTGACAATAATTATTAATTATTGTCAAATTTAAGAAGAAATGTTTGTTTTGCATGTAGTACCTTTATTGACCACCGGATGACAGTATAAGACTGTTTGAACCGAAGGATGGATAGTGAGGGAGCGAGCAGTGTCTCTTTAAGAAAAATGGGAGGGAGGCCCCTTGATGCGACATGGGCTGTCTTTCTTCGCTTCTCAAAATGGCGGGCGCTCGGTGTGGTTTGAGCTCTTTAGCATAGCATTTTTCACACAAATCTTTAAATTAAAACCAATCAATAAACAAGTTCTCAGCTTCTTTTTGCAGAGAAAAACTTTTTACATGAAGGCACAGGTTTCAATTGTGAATTTTGGAGCTTCGACAAGACGGAGGTTTTTTTTCCCCGGGGCCAGCCTGTTAGCTTAGCTTGTAGCTTAGCTTCTCGGCTTAGCTGCTTTTAACAATCCGAAAACACGATTTTGGATGGTTAAAGTGGATTTTAAAGAGAAAAGAGAAAGGGAGGGGCTTTTTGTCATCCAGTGTCTTCAGTAGAAAGAGAGACACGAAGAAACGATAAAGCAGATAAATTAAAATGAGGTTGATAACTTTCATTGATCATGCGACTAATTGATTTATTGTTTATTGTGACAGGCCTAATGAACAGCTCATAACTTTATAGCAGTTTATGCAAATGGTACTTTGAATGGCAAACAGCTAGAGCCAGCAGCTGGGGCATTTCTGGTGCAGTCTGGGGTCCAATCCAGAACGAAATCCACAACATATCTACTGAAACATCCATGGACGCTAAACTGACAACAGTATCAAGTTTTAAAAAGTAGCTTGTGTATGAAGACACTCAGCTTTGGAAGTCAGGCGACTTGGAACTGTATCGACAGGCAAAGAATAGTCCAGACGGAGCAGACCCACTGCCAGAGCTGAGTTTGTTGTTAGAAAATAATTCCAAGCTTCAAAATTTTAGCATGGTTAGTGCAATCGTTATTATTTAAATTGTATTTTGGTAGAAATCTTATGGAAGAGACTGGTGTGTGATACAGCTAGCAGCTGCTGCCACTACTTGCATGAAATACCATAAAATGTTATGTGAAGAATAGGATGCTAAACTAACTGCAGTGTAAAGCTCTAAGAAATGGTGCCATAAAAACCACTTGAAGTTTTGGAAATAAAGTTCTGTGTTGTCATCATTGTATGTTCCCACACAATGATGAAATTAGTTCTCTGCATTTAACCCATCGTGTCTGGGGTGCGCCCAGGTGGAGCAGTGGGCAGCTATGCAAGCGCCCGGGGAGCAATTAGGGATTAGGTGTCTTGCTCACAGACACCACAACTTGTGGGAATGGCTGGGGATTGAACCTGGGACTTTCGGGTCTCAGGTCGGCTGTCCTGCCTCGACCCCATCTCAGCTCAGCTAAGAACACCAAGTGCTCTGATCCTCGTTCCAACTAACAATTAGCTCAGTTTGGTCAAAATGTTTCCTAAAGAGGTTGTTCAAAAAGCTATCTACAACAGATTAAACATATATATTTATATGTTCTTCACAGAGCCCTACTTTAAAATGTCCAAATGTCTTATTTAGTGTTAAAAAAAAAATCCAACATGTGAAAACATCTAAAGGAAACTCAAAGAACTCCTGATGCTCTACGTGATGTGGATCTGTCAAACATGTACAAGAGATCTCCACTGGTTCAAATCTGGTTCTGTTCCAGACTTCATGAAGGTGGTTTGGTTTTAGAACCACGTGTACAATTGGCTGAAAACTCAAAAACCAGAACGCTACTCTGTGCCATTTTAAATAAAACATTTCATTTAAGTGCCTAAAGTTCATCAGTTTCATTGTGAATCCAGGACTGACCGTGACCCAGCTCAGTCTGGGCATATGTGCCCAGAACCTGCAGGGACTCTGCCAGAGGCAGCCATTTCTTGGCCTGCTGAGGGTCACACTGGCTGCGCAGGGTTGGCAGGAACATGACATCGTGCAGCCCTAAAGTCTCATGCTGGTTGCCTCTAGCAATACTGGGTAAAGGAAAATTGAATTTCAGATCTGCAGTTCCTCAAACTTCAGATAAATTGCACTTTTGATGAGCTACAAGCTTAAAGACAATTTGAAAGACAATGAGATGTTATGGTTGATGTCATGGAAGTCATACAAACATGTAAAAGACGTTGGCTTGAACAGTTTTTTTTTTTTTTTTACTGTTTAGGTGGGGTATCAAAGTCCAAGAAGTACAAAAAGTTTCAGCAAAATAAGGAGTGAAAGGGCATTTATAAACTGTGTATAAACACACAGTGACAATAGGAGAACAACTGGACACCTAAAAATCTGATCTCAATTATTTGATCAAGGGTTTAAATCACATTTATCACTGACTGGTCGGAGCAGCTGACCATTGTTGACCTTCTCTCTGTGGTTTTATATTAGCTGAACCATAAAACATCTGCTACAAAACGATGTGATGTAAACAACTAGTGGGACTGCACAACGGAAGGACTTCATTATCCAACGTTAGAGCAGTCCAGTAGCTGTTGCATCATACCACTAAATAAATTAAACATTTAAAATGCACTCAGCTGAGTGCACCCTGCTAACTCAAAGATAGCACAGCTAAGGAGTGCACTTTAGACAATGTTCCTACACATTTTTATTATAGGCAGGTCAACATAACGAGGGACTGTGGACTGAAATGAAAACCTCATCATAATAGAGCGACCGGGTTCATTGCCAGCCATTTAGGAAACTGTTAAATTGCATGAGTCTGCGTGTGTGCAAGTATTCTCAATACAAGTTGATATAGAAATTATTATTTTAATGCTTTTATGTCAATATTACACTT